AATAGCCTCCCATTTTTCATTGTCTTATATAATGCTTTCCCTGAATGTTTCCATTGTCTGAAGGAGCTGAAATAGTACAGATAAACTTGAGGAAGCTCATCCTTTCAGTCACGGAGTTGCCAGCAATGTGTTCATGCTGATGGTTAGTCTGGATGGGAGGAACAGTCAGCTGTTGCTGTTAGCCTGTCTTAAGCTTTGTATTTAATCTCTTTATGCCTTCAGCTGCCCTGATGATGAATACAAAATAACTTTCTAATATAATAGAAGTTAATAAATAAAAGTCAGCTTATTTGTAGTCTTGATGTAAATCACTATTCTTATTATTTTCTGGTTTTCCTAGAAGATATAAACTGGAGATGCTGACTTTTCATTATCAAAATTCAATAAGCAGTATGTATAAAATGAGTCCTCGATTTCATTTTAAGTCTGTTTTCTGACATATTTCTGCCTCTGTTCTGTTAAATAAACAAGCAGTTTGCATGGAGAAAACTTTTTAATGTTTCAGTCCAGATGAGACAGACTGTTAGAAGATGACTTTCTCTTGGTGCTGACTTTCCTTTTCAGGCTACTCATTCCCACTTCCATATCATTCTGTCAGTCAGGCTAGTGTGACTGTGCATCTGCATGGTAAACTGCATCAGGAAAGTAATCTAGACTAAAAATAAACCAGAAAAGAAAAAAAAAATAAAATGCCAAAGAAAACAGTTGTTTTTAACTCTGAACAGTTCCTGAGGAGGGTGTTCTTATTAAGGCTGAAAGAAATGCTTATGAAATTACAACCATGGCTGGAAAATGTATATGGGCATTCTGTCTGGAAGTCACTTTGCTCAATCTGAGAGGACACCGGGTCCAGACTAAGCAGGTTAAAGACATTGCTTCTGGATAATTGGATTATGTGATAAATTAAGCCAGTTGTGGAGCAGAGATGGGTTTTAGGAGGAGAGAAGTGGCAGGCCATTATGGAATAGAGGGAGAAGAATCATCAGCTCTTGTGGAATTTCAGACAAGCTGTAGCTGCATTGATATTCCAGTCAATGTTGCTTAAGTATGTATTCAACACCTTACTAAGATTGCTTGTGTAGTATATATTCCCTGCATTTGTTATAACTGTGCTGCTTTGACATAAGCCTCTTCAGTCAGTGGGAAAAATTATTGGAACCGAGTTCGTATCTATTGAAATTTTATCAGCCTCCCTACTGGTTTGAAATGTAGACAGTCAAAAGGGGTTTTTTAATAAAACACTGGATTTTGTTAATTAGTAAAAATCAGTCCGATGAACAGACTCATGTTAAGAAGCTCCTTCCTCCTCACCTTTAATTTTTGTAAAAGAGACTAATTCTTCTCAGTTGTTGCAAGCATCTAGTCCATCCAAATTCATTGTCCACATTTCCTTTGTAATTAATGGATGGGGAGAGAGATGAAGACTTTCAGGGTGCATTTCCATCCCAACTGGTTTAGGATAAGGTAAAGTGCTTTCTGAACATGCAAACGTCTCTTGGTTTATCAGAGGGAACGTAGGTCTAAGTATGCACTAAGTATTTTCTCTTCAGACAGCTAAAGTTGTGGGAGATGAATCCCACTGAACATTTCATTTAAGATCATTGTGTGGGCTGTGACCTAAACATTATGGTTGGTAGTTCTTGTACAACTCTTATTTATATTTTAGCATAGCTGTTATAATCAGGTAGCCTTGCTGGCTATATAAACAACCAGTTCTTGAGTCCCATTGAGCTCTTGGCTCCTGTGCATACCATGCATATGTGAATTCAATAAACTAACTGTACCATTTGTAAAACAAGTATTTACTTTCTGCTATTTGCTTGTGAAACTGCTCAGATTAATTAGATGTCACCTTGTTCTTGCATGAGGAGGCAGAAACAGAGGCCATTTTATTATTCTTTCTCTCAAGTCAAGTCATACAAATCTTTTTGGAGTTTCTTGCTCTGGTAATTTCTGTGAGCGTCCTCCTCTTGTTTGCCAAAATCTTACTGTGCTGGGATTATGCTAAGAAACATAGAGTTACAAGCTTGAAGAGAACAACAGATTTGTATAATAGCTTTGGAATATTTTTCCTGATATTTTCCATCCTCCTTCTTATGTATGCACACAAGGTGTTTGCTGTTTTGATCGCTGATACCCACTGAGCAAATGTTTTCATTGAGCTTTCCATGCTGATGCACAGGTCTGGCTTTTGCTTTGTTTTTCCTGAGCTGGTAACAATTCACTCTAACCCTAGCAGTGAGTTGTTCAAATTAATCCCTTTTATGTGCATTGCTTTGCATTTTTCAACATCTAATTTTGTCTCTTCTTGATGTTGAATCACTAGTAGCTCCCACACATGGAGCAGTAGCTACTAAAATACAGGGCAAAGAATGACAAAAACTGCTAGAGGCCTGCCAGTTTAAGAGAACTAGGTGAAGTCTTGTGTTTGATTTGTTTTCTGTGTTGGAGGAAACTCAGCATAGTTCTGATTTCCTTTCAGTTGGGTATTTATCTTAATAACATAGGCATGGAAACACTGTATTCATTCTGCCTTTTGACAGCTTCACCCTGGTGTCTTCAGATCTTCTGCTGTCCTGAGCTACCAAGGATAAGCAAACTTTTGGATTTGATTCAAAACATCAATTATCTGAAGCCCTGTTCTGCCTTCTGCACCATTTTTTTCAAGTGGTGTCAAACCAATTGAGGGTGCTTGGCTGCATAACATACTCTAGTTTTGCTGAGATTTAGTGATTCTTGGATGCTTAAAGAGCATGTTGGGCCACTTTGCTGAGAGCACAGATTAGAGTAGCTTTATTAGCAAACAGTGTGGTTCAGGTTAACAGAGGGCTGAGAAATTTTATGGAACAATGTATCTATGTTTACAGTGAAATTCACCTATTGTAACACAAATACTCCCATGAAAATCCAAATTAGATCTTAAGATGAAACATTGATGTTTTGTTTATAGCATCTTTCACCATTCATGTCTGCCTTCAGTTCTGGTATTTTATTCCTACAGGACGACACAGACGTTATTTTTCCCACATCCCATATGTCCAAATCATGTATAAAGATATTTAGCTCAAATACCATGCGTGCAAAACATTCCACACTGTGGGTACAAGGTGACGTTTGGTGTGTCTTTAACATGCTGTGGTGTTCAATTACAATACAGCAAATTTATTTTTATGCAGCCTTCTTCATAGAAGGTATGGAAAATTGCTTTGCAGTGAGTCATCTGTCAGCTAAAGAACTAAAAGTCTTGTAGTGATATTTAAAGAGAGAAAGTGGCTCAGAGCTGACAGAGTTCAAGACAGAAAAAGAAACAGAAATGAAAGAGAGGGCCTCCAACCATGGAGAAAATAGAGGCAGACTGGTAGGGGGAGGAGTGATGAGAAAGCCAAACAAGCTGAGAAAGTCAGAGGTAGTGCAGGCGACTATGCAGATAATTTGGAAACAAGTGTTGAGCTTCAGGTGTCTCTCCTGCATTACACCAGCAAAGATTCTTGGAATGGTGTAAAACCAGGTAAATTAGAGCACTGCAGTCCGTGCACTGTGAGGGACTTAGAAACATGCAGGTAGAGGTTGAGGGAAAGATAAATGGCTTAACTTTCTGGAGCAAGACATTAGAAGAACACTGGCGTTCGGCACCACATAATGTTTAAACGTGTGAGCATTTTATGAGACCATGAAAGGCGGAATTTCAGTTAATTAGACAGGAGTTGTTATAGACATGAATATGGAGTTAAGCAGCAGTGCAGTCAAAGGGAAGATGGATTCTGGCAGTCTTCCCTTGCTAGTGCCAGGAGGGCTTACACTGAGAAGTGAGCGTGTGGGAGAGGTAGTCAGTTCAGGGTCAAAGATGACTTCAGAACTCTGAATTTGTGTACAAGGATAAGATCTGAGTAAAGAAGCATGAAAGCTGTCTCGGAGAGCAAGAGGGACTTCTTTCCCTTGACATTTGAGCCTTTTGAAGAATTAGCTAGTAAGGAAATTATAATGTAGCAAGGGAATGACAGATCCAAGACAGGCTGTTAAAGAGATCAGAGATTACTTGCCAAGGTCACTGATGCCTTGCATGCTTTCCCTATTGTCCTGGTTCCGGCAGGGATGGGGTTAATCTCCCCAGGAGCCGGCAGGGGGCAGGTATTCCATACCACGTGACCCATGCCCGAGCTATAAGAAGAGCTAGCCGGGGCGAGGAGAGGAGTCGCCACTCGGGGGTGGGCTGCGGCGGTGCGGGTCCGGTCGGTGCGCTTCGCGGCGGTACTGTAATCGCGTTTTTGTCTTTTCCTTTTGCTGTTCTGTTAAATTGCACTCTTTTAACCCACGAGTTTGGCCCTGTCATTTTCTTTTTCCACGACTGTGGGAGTTGTGCGAGCGGCTGCGTGGTTCTTTGTTGCTGGCTGAGGCCAAACCACGACACCTATAAAGTTGATGTCCAAAGCTGAGCTAGCAGTAAGATATCCCAAAGGAGGAGGATGTTTAAGGAGGAGAAGGTAGAAGAATCAGAAACAGATGCCTGGTGTTTTTAAGACACAGCACTATCGTGGATGGATATCATCGAGATAAACACTATAATCTTTTATTGTGAAGTACATGCATTCTTCTTGTGTTCTTGGTCAAGTCTACCAACTGGTGGTGTGGGGCTCCTGGGGGAGCTCTCATCTCTTGTGCCCCAGTCTGCCCTTCCTGTTTTTTTCCCTGGCGATTCTTTTGACCTTACTCTCTGTGCGGAACCATATTAAGAAAGTAAACGTGATGTAAAGTATGTAGCACAAAGGAGAGTGCAGTTTTTATTGAACAGAAGGGAAAAGAACTTGTCTTCTAACTCAATGCATTCAGAAAAGTTGGCTTTGACATTGTAGTACTGAAAGGCATTCTAAGCATTAAAGTAAGGTTAGAGCCACTCAGACATTCCAGAATTTGAAGGAGGTGATATTTCATTGTATGCAGTTCTAAAATGCTTATTACAGATCTTTGTATTTACAACTATCATGTCTCTTTTGAATCTGCAGAGGAGGAATATCAAGGACAAACCAAGAGAAAGCGCATTCGGAGAAAGAAACAAAAGAACAGTTTGCAAAACTCTAATAATTTATATGGAGAACAAACAGAATCTGGAATGCAAGAAACTCTTGTTCAAGATAATTTACAGCTGCAGCAGATAGACAGTCCCAAAATAAGCAAAAACAAAAAGAGGAAAATGAAAAAGAAGCGACAGAAAGAAAAAATGAGAGCAGCTGGCTTGGTAACAAAAAATACCGGTGTGGATTTTACATATCAGCCTGACAAAAACAACAGAGAAGAAGCAGCAGGCTTAAAAGACATAGATGAAAAGGCAGATAGTGTTCTGGACTTCCTGCAGGCAACACAACAAATTTATTTTGCTGACAGTATGTACCACTCTTTTTCCTTTATTTCATGAGTATTACCACATAAGGGAAAATAGATGTGCACTTATTATTGCTGTAGAATGGGTCAAAACTACTAGAGAAGAATGTCTTTTAAACTCAGTCAGTCATGTGGGTACTTAGTATTTGTCCCATTTTCTGGTGTGTACATGACCATGTAAGAATGACATCAGCATAAAAAATAGTGGTCCTAATCTATTTGTTTCTTTGTCTTTGAAAATATACATAATATTCCTTGCTCTTTTTTTAAACATTCCAATGAACTTGGTGTAAATGTAGTGGTTAAAATGGAGCAAATTCTTCGTTATTCTACAAGCAAACATCCAGAAGGATTACTTGCTGTCAGAGAGCTTCAAATGAGGGCTATAATTGCTATCCTAAACGACTTTCATGCTTACTATCTCTGAAGCAACCTACTTTTCAGAAAGTTCTCCTTCTCAGGAGGAGATTTATTTGTAATCTATAAGGAAATCTAGACAGACAGCATCCAGGAGGAAAGGGGAGGATACTGTTGGCACTTGCAAAGTGTATTGGGATAAATCACTTGTGAACATGAATGTGAACTGATGCTCAATGCACATTCCATAGCACTTTAAAAAGGATTGCATGGATATTATCCCTAATGACCTATTGAATGTTCATCTGGCCACTAAAATCAGTGAAATTCCTACTTTATGTTTCTTCCGTTGCCTTCCTCAAAAGCTGCTCATATGGCACTTATGTCATAAATGTCTTTCAGAAATAATGAAGTTTCAGTGGTAAGTACTACAGTACTTATGTGTACATACACTAGGTTATGTTGGTATCATCTAGAATTAAATATGTTTTCTTAAGGGCAAGCTGGTGTGTTCTGTAGTTGCTCAGCTTAGAACATAACTTTAAAATGATAACTGTCTTGTAAAACTGGAAAAAAACACTGAAAATTTTTTCAAAGTGAACAGTCTTAAATGCCTTTGTGGAGCTGAATGAAGAATATTAATCAGCTTACCTACCTGTGTGAGTCCATCTTAAGTCAGAGCTGTCAGCTCCTAGTCCCATAAAATTCATCTTTAGACTGCCGAATTACTTTAAAAACCCTGTTAAGATGACATCAGGGATTTCGTGTTAATTTTTTTTCTCAAGATTTATACATAGAATTTTCTTCGCTTACTGTTAAAATTTTTCTGCTGTGTCAGGTCTTCACACTAAACTGAGCGTTCAAAATCCATCCTCCTTTCTGGCTAATGTATTTCCATCACCTACTTCCAATAAGAATTTTACTACTTCAGTGTATGGCTAAGTAAATGTCAGCTAACCTACATTCATTTGCTGTAGGGGAACTCCAGAGTAACTACGCAAGTTTGCAAACTCAGTTAACAGTTCTGCTGTTAGTACATGACCCAGAACAGAAACCTGGTCAATTGTCCGCAGCTGTGTTACATGTTGAATTTTAAGAAAAAGCGCTGAGCTTCCAGCTTCCCTGGAAGTCAAGTTCAAGTTTTAGCACTGGTTGACAGATTGATTGGCTCTGGTGTCTGACCTTCATATCGGAGGGTTGAACCAGTTCATTCCCAGCCACCTTGGAATCCACAGAGAGAAATTCTCAGGTAAAAGGAAGTTCATCTGCAGATAAGATGTCACATCCATAAATCACAGTGTGACTAACTTTCTTGTTAGACAAATGCCAATTTATATATAGATCTGACATTATGCTGTTTGCCTTTTCTAGTTGAGTGACTTTAACACTCCCTAATTTTTTTAGATAAAATTGGAAGCCATTGCTTTTAGCAGCATTTTCAAATGGTCACATTGGATTATACTTATGTCAGAAAGCTGAATCGGGAAAAATCTATTCTTCTCAGTTGGCTTGCTGGTAAAAAACAGAAGAATTAAAGGGAGTCTGATTAAAGGGACAGACCATACATTGTTACTGGAATGGAAGAATGAATTTATGCTTTAGTACTGTAGAAATAATGTATGTCCTTCTCTGCTGTCTTGCATGCTGTAATATCTGCCATTTATATAAAAACATAAAATACGTAAAATACATAAAAAACAATAACAAGATAACTGGATGCCTCCAGAAGTGCTTTGCAGTAGTTCCATCAGTAGTTCCACACTTGTAGAACTACTTTCGCTGTCTCCACTTGTGTGTGTTTTTATAATACATAGCGTGTGGGAAGCGAAAACGCAGTGCTTTGGCCACAGTACAGTTTCTTCATCACACCTTCTCCCTGTGCTAATCTTGAAAACTGAGATTCCTCTTGCATTCCTGTCACTGTAAATCCTATTTTCTTTTTTATTTTTTTAATTTGATACTTTCTCCTCTTACCATTGTTTTAATATTTACCAAAAAAATAGGAGGAGCAAGCTACTTTTTAGTACCCAATACTTGGTTGTAAATTGTACTAAAAAGGAAGATTCTGTCTTTGAAAAAAAAGTATAATTAGGAAAATTCTCTATGCTCTCTGAGTATTTTTAATGAGATATTCCAATTGTTTTTCCAGAGAAATCAGAATGCACGGATTCTGCTGTAAATTCAGCAAGTGCCCAAGAGCTTTTGCATTATCTTGAATCTCGCACCATCTCTTCCTCAGATGTGACTCTTCTACATCAGCTGAAATCCCTTGTATTGCTACAGGATATTGAGAGATTGAAGGATGCTTTGAAACAATTCCAAGAACAATCCGTGATGCCTCCTGGTAGGTACCATTCACTCATGTTCATTCACTGATTTTTGTGTGGATTGAAACTCAGGTTTGTCACAGGTTTTTTTTATTAGGGAGCTGTAAATAATTATATAGTGGTAAAGATAAGCTTATAGAAAAATTGAAAGCATAATTCCCACCAAAAATACAGTGATTTTCCCTGTTTATTGTTTGGTTACTATCAATACAGAAACTTCTCATACTTTGCAGCAACTATAGAGTACAAGATGATTCAGGTTCTTAAAACAATATTTTAAAAATCTTAACTGTTTTAAGATTTAATCATGTTTAAAGCATATTTTTAATACATTCTCTTTGTAGACTTTCTAAATAACGGGAATTAACTTGTTTATCTTGGAGATTTCACTCATCCATTTAAGGATTAAATTTACATGCATAAGAATTAACAATGCCCATTCTTTCATTTCTTCTTGGTCACCTACAGGGCTTTTTTAACACATAGATTTTGCATGCCAAAGTTTGATTTACAGCTTTGTATTTGTTTAAATATAAATGTCTGGTTTCATTTTCTAAATATTACTGTTAATTATGTAAAAAAGTAAAGTCAGTCTTTATAATAAATGGTATTATAAAGTCACTCATAAAAAGAAAAAATATTATGTTACTAAATCTTATCATCCTTGAGGCACAAGACTGATTTCATTCATGCTCCTTTTGTTCTCTATTTTGACCCATATAATTTTAGTAGAATTTCTTCTTGGACAGTTAATGGTTCCTCAAGTGAATGTGGGAGCAGCATGTAGTCAGTAAACGGTATAATAATTCATTTTCCAAGTAGTCTTCATTTAAACAGTCATTGTTACTTGTCATTAGTACTTTTGTTGCAGCATCAGCCGAATCTACAAGATGTGCTGAATTTTCTTGCCTCCCAAAGAATTTAATCAGTTGAGAGCACTCGCTATGGCACAAGATGAATCTCAACCATTTTAGATAGTGCTCTAAGTCTTTTGAAGAATAACAACTGAGCTGGTAGTAGTGTTGTACCATAGTAAATAAGGTCATAGCCGTCAGAGGCTTAATAATGACATTCCAAGAAAAGACTACTGCTTGTAACATAATTAAATAATTTACAGCATGATAGTGGCTAAATGTTCCAGTCAAGACTGGAACCTACTGCATGCAGTGCATTGTAAAACACAGAAAAGAGAGAATTCCTGCCTGTAGAGTTCATAGTGGATAGATTTTGAAAAGAACACTCTTAAAGAAGTACATATGTATTCTTTAAAGTGTAGATATGGAGTATGACAACCCTTAAGGTTCTGACAGTTCTGAAGTATCCACATATACATGGAACAAAATCCTTCTGTGCACTCAATAATTAATTTCGAGCCTAGATTCTGAATTCTTAATTATAATCAGGTAGTCTCATTGAATGTAATACACATTTGCAAACTAAGTAGGACTCAGAAGGAGTAGTGGTAATGGTGTTGGCCCTTTATTAAATGACCTAATTCAGCTTCTGTCAATTAAATCAAAATGGAACTGTTGAAGTGACCACATTCAAGGTATTCCTTAAAGGCCTTATCCAAATTCTGCTCAGTACAGTAGGAATTCTGTTGGCTTTTTCAGCCTTGAGGCAAGCTGTTCTGTTTACTTTTGTATAGCAGAAATGTCAAACTGAAGAGAGAGAGAAAAGAAAACAGAAGCAAATTAGAAACAAATCCATGGAACTACCCTAATTTTCTGGTGTATTTTTTTTTGTCACTTGAAAAAGCAGACGACAGTTTTTTGAGTGATTTTTAAAATTCATTTGTGTTTCTGCTGATACAGCCTGAAATTGTTTACTCTTCCAGTTGTTTTTTTTTCCTAGTAACTGTTGTCACTCTAGGCTCAATTCCAATCTCATACCAAGTTCACGGTGGTGCAACCATGGTAGTTGATTTGATATTCATGAGGTACAACAGCAAAAGGAAAAGGAAAATACATTAATATAAATTATTAAAGGATAATTAAGCACCTGTTAGATATTAATTTGCCTCAGCGGAGTTTAACTTTACATTCTATTTGTAATTCAGGAATTTCAGTGAATGAGAAGACAGTGGTCTGAAATTTTACCTTGAATTAGGCTTTTAATTATACTTTTTTCCTACTTCGGGCTCAAAAATAGGTCATTTTGCCCATTTTTTTTTATTTTAGATTTTATTCCCAATGAACAGGTGATAAAAGTTAAGAGTTATTACAAAAACTTTTTGTCTCAGCAAATTCAAGTTCTTGTTATAGAAATACAGGTTAGGGTTTTTTATGACGATAAAAATATACAGTATATCATAATAATCTCATTTTTTTACAAGTTTGTCTGATTATCTTGCCTTTTTTCTGTTTTGTTTGTTTTTACTGGGGCATGGTGTACTAGAAGAAAAGGTCATTTCTTATTAACATGATGAAAAGAAAACAATTTTTCTTTATTTTAGCATGGTGTATTATTTTTGCAAAATGAACCTATTTTATTCCCAGTAGTTGAAGAAGCAACATGTTAACCCTTTTTCCCGTGGTTATGATTCCACTTAAGATGCCAGCATCAAAGCAGTAATAATGGGTGCTATGTTTTGTTTAGTTTTGTCTTTAACTTAAGGAAGGAAAGACTAGGAAAAAAAAAGATAAGTGATCCATCTCTTTCATATAAGTGCACATTCGCCATTAGTAAACTTTACAAAGTAAACATACCATTATATCTTTTATTTCCTCATAAATATATATATATTATGGTTTAAGCTAATTTTCCACTAGGGCTACCAAGTCCCATTTGGCAAGTTTATGCCTACTGGTGATAAATTTGCTTTTCTTAATAACTTTTTACAAACCTTTTAGAGTAAAGCAATGGACTACCCAAGTTCTACAGACCACAAATTGAAAAACACTGGTTCGAGACCATGTTTTGGTATTTCCTTCACACCTCTTAGCATGTTATTCAGATTGGGAATCATGGTTCAACCAAAAGAAAAAAGAAACAATGAAGAAAAATGCTTCTGTTTTATTTTAAGCTCTTAGATCCCAATATTTGCAGTCATATCAAAGAAAGGTCTAACAAGGTTGGTGGTAGAGTCTGAAAAATTTTTCAGGAAGAGGATTGCTAAAGGATTGAACCAGAAAAATCATCAACATTAAAGTATTATATTTAACTCTTCATTTAAATGAGAAAACATACTTGAACAGGAAAATCTCTGTGGTCAAGAGATACTGGTTGTTCTGTCTGGTTGTTGTCCTCCATCAACTTACCTTGTACTTTGTGCTTCGAGTTACTCCCTCAAGTTACCTTTGTACTTCAGCAATGATACAAAGTTGAGGTTGGTCTAATTTTTGTTTGAGCATGACTATTTAAACTGTCATTGTTCCCAGACTGTAAAAAATAACACAATGTCCAATTACTATTTCCATTTATTTGGTAGTCTTTAACAAAAAGTACTCACCTCTACCTAAAGCCTTCTATAAATTCAGGAAAGAGAATGTTTGGAAATCAAATAGACATACTTTTCTCATGATGGGGGCTTGGCTGATCTCTATCAGAAAGTCAGACGCCTTCGTGATCCTGCACAGTGCAGTGGGCAAAGGAGAAGAGCTGTAACTGGAAGCTCCAGCTCCGTTTGCTGGCTGGAAACTGTAGCTTTTGAAATGAGGGCTACCCAATTCCCATTTCGCATCAATTATTAAAGCATAGGTGGTCACCTAATTAAAAAAAAAAATCATTATCTCCTAATTTATGAACTCATTCAGCTTCTACTCATCAGCTTCGTTCCATTATCTATTAACATTTTCCCTTTGTTGGTTAGTATCAAGTCTCAAATATACTCTTCCCTTGTTGCCTAGGAAATTATCACTCACAGAAGAGCTAGAAACTTCTTTTAACTGCCTTTTTTTTGGAGAGTTGTCTTTTATTTATGTCTCCATTGTGGGGGATCGGGAAGGTACATTTTGCAGACCAGAAGTATACAGTTACTGTGCTCCAATAGTACACAGGCTGGTTACACAGAGGCCCTAAAATGATTAAATTTAACCTTTTTTTTTTTTTTTTAATGAACATTTAAAAAAAAGGAAATGAAATGTGGAAGCTATATTAGCATAACATTATAGAATCATCTTAAATGTGGTATTATGTGAAAAGTACTGTAGCAAGTCCTGTCGTTAAAAATACATAAAGTCACATAGGTAATCTCTGAATTAAGACAGAAGCCATGGCATTTTGAGGCTTTAATACAGCTGTCTGTGCAAGACAGCTCATTCTCAACTGGGGTTTCTAGGTGCTACTGTAAGTTAAATAATAATGTGTGAAATTATTCTCCAGACAGAAAGAAGTGGAGAAGCTTGCACTCTTTTAGCCTTACCCATATGGTCATGCCATTTTGATCTCCTTTTTTTCTGAATTATTGAATCTTAACCAATAGAATTGCATACAAACAAATAGAATCTCATATAAATAACTGACTTCCTAGAAGAAAATGCACCTGTTTATCTAGAAATTCATATATATTAGTTTTCAAGCTCCAATATCTGCATTGGTTTTATTGAAATGCCAGTATTGAATGGAAACAGATGCTCGCACAAGTATTTCTCATTAAGGTTCAGAAATGTCAAAAAGGTATTTCAGGAGGAATGTGTTTTCTTTGTTTCAGATCATACCAAGATAGTCACGTCGCTGTTTCACTACTGGATTACAGATATCCTTCCTGTGAAGAATAGGAAATAAAGCCTTAGCTGTGTCCATACATGCTGGGATAAAATTTAATATACAAACTCTTAACCAAGTAGCAATTGTTCAGGAAGAGCAGTGTCAATACACATTCTACACCTTCAGGTAAATGAATTATTTTTCTGTGTTACAAACTCGAGAAGACAACGAACAGAGTATAACTACCTGTGATTTTTGTGTTTGGTTAGTCAAGAATATGCATATGCTGTGTGGCCTGAGTCTTCAGCTGGATTAGTATGTACATTTCACTTGAGGATAAGGGACTTACCAGGAATGATAAAGTTTTCACTTGAGGATAAGGGACTTACCAGGATAAAGTTGGTGTCAAGTATTTTGTTTAAGAAGTATAGGTTTGGGGGTTTTTTTTGTTTATAAATTAATCATTCCTTTCTGGAAATTTTATTTCGTGGCTTTTCTTGTTTATCTGATGTGTCTGTTTACCTGAAAAACAGAAATATATTTTTATATTTCAATCTAAGCAACAATATGTCTGAGGACTGTATTTTTGCTGAATAATCGGCTAAATTATGGAAATAGATAAATTTCTACATGTGGGTCATGTAGGTACTGTTTGGAGTTATGCAGGAACTTGGATTTCATTTTCAGAACTATTGCACAGTATTACCAGCCTGTTACGATCCAATGGGCTTCACCGACTGCAGAGTTATGGGACTGGATTCTCTCAATGATTACTGTGTGGTCTTTCTGCAACTGAATTTTTCCATGTGTAGATGATATAGTAAATAATATCCAAGGTTGAAAAATGTTTTGGAATCCTGAAGAAGAAAATGCTTCATGACAGGCTTTTCTCTCAGCTGAGTCATTCACCTGATAGGTGATACAGAGCAAACAGTTTCTTCTCTTAGTCTGTTAACTTCCTCATCAGTAGGATAGGGGCAACATAGTTGTCTCCTCCAACATGTGCTTGGAAATGTATTACTGACGGGACTGTATAAACATTATGTGGGGTTTTTGCTTTGTTTTTTTATTATATTGCCTGATATATCCTATTGCAAGGCACTGTTTTTAGTGATGCTCAAAAATGTGCAATAAAAATACAATCATACCTCTTTCTCATTAATTGAAGAAGTTAAAAGGGGTTCAGACACATGCCAGAGGATTGCAGGTGCAGAAGAAATGGTCTTATGGCTAAAACAGCTGTGTACAGCTCTGGAGAACTTGAGTTAGGTCTGTATCTGCTAGGAAAAATATTTAAACCAGACTTTGCAGAGTGGAATCTATTAGTGTGTTCCCTGTTTTAATGCTCCTGACTTGCTAACACGTAGGCACTGAACTGTAGCTGTGACCTTTCACTGAGATGTTGTGTGCCTCAGTCCCACATCTGGAGAGTGAAGAAAATATCACTTGAATGTGAAGCACCTAGATACTCTATTGACAGATCCCACTGGAAATCAATCGCTTCATCCTCAGATTGAGGTTTGAATGTCATGCAGTAAATGAGGCCTAGGAACTGCACAAAAAGGATATGCAGCAACTCATTAGGTAAGCATCATCTGCCCTATACACTGAATATGAAAAAATAAATGAGATCATGTAATTAAAGATAGTATTTTGAAACACAAGTACAAACCAGGTCAAATTAGGACTGTACAAACAACTCTAGTGCCTACATTTCCTGACGCTCGAGGGACTGTGCTGAGGGGTGTTATAAGGCTGCTGCCTTGGGCGAAGCCCAGGACCTGGGGATTCCTTCTCCTTGTCCTCTGGATCCCAGGCTGGTGCGCCTGGAGACCTGGATGTCTCTCTGTCCCATGCCAGCAGAGGCGACTGCAGCTGTCATGTTTCCAGGTTCAGCCGGTAGTGATGCTTCACACATATCTCAGGGATACACACACACGACACTCACACGGCCGACTACACAGGCTGCACTGCCTTTAACAACACCCATGGGTAACCCTGCCAGGACTCATATAAAACACAAGTCCAGTCATCTTCTGTGGCTGATTGGAATTGAAGTTCATGAGTGAAAACACACACGACTTTCACTTTCTAGGCTCACAAGCCTACCCCCATTCGCAGATCACCAGCACAGGCTCCCTGCCTCCCTCATATCCCTGCCTGGATCCCAGACCTTCTTACCTGCTCTGCAGGTCTCCTGCTCACCAGCTAGTCCAGCCTGACACCCGCAACCACGCATTCACACACTCGTCTCACAGGCACTCACGCACTCACAGCTTTGTTTATTGCTTTAATTTCTCCTCTTTATTATTTCTGTTATAGTGCTTGGCCATTTCTCATAATATTAAAGTGATTTTTAAAATTACGCTGAATTCTAAATAGCTGCATACAGAGGAGAGGATTTGGGTATCTTTGCCAAACAGAAATATTTTCTGTTATCCGTAGTCTAATCCCAGAATGTGAGTAACATTTCTCAGGTCAAAAATGTACTTTGTTTGAATTGGGTAATGATGAGAAAAAGATTGCTTTCAGTCTCTTTTTTTTCTTTTTAACCACCATAAGAGCCTTATATTCTGTGCAGAAGTCAGCTGGTCCTAACAAAGCAAGCCTGGGAATAGTTTCAGAGCCTAGCTAGTTAGAGTCAGTGATATCTGATGTCTTTGTAAATGACCTGCAATACGAGCTGAATCTTACACTTATCAAACCTGCCACTATTACACTAACGGGGATTATACAGAGTCGAGGATAAAATAAAATCTGAGATGTTGGAGAGTTTAGAAAATTGGACCAAATTCAAGCAGATAAATTGTAGATTGTCATTGCAGATAAATGCAATCGCATATGAGTGTATTTGTTTCTGAAACAAATGTGCCAAACAATGGTGTGCTGAACTGCAACATGTGTAAGGACACTTAAGAGCAATAAGAACTCAGCAGAAAGATCTAGTTTAAAAGCAAAAGAAGTGGACATTGCTCATCCTATAATAATATCAATTAGGCAATGTACTAAAAATGGCAGGGGAGAAGGATTGTTTGATTCCATGTTTAACATCCTATTTGAAGTGACAAATACACCAGAATTTTAATACCTAATCGTTTTTCTGTGTTTCTTTTCTACAAGAAATGGTGCTGAATCTCCCTACACCTTTTATGGTTTATTTGAGGAGCAGGATAACCAACAAGGCTGGGATGTGAAAACTGAAACATTGAAATTAATATCCACCAGTGAACACAGTGTGTTTTACATTTCACTATACATGGCTCCTTCGACATAGCAATGAAACATTTATCGCTGTGGATTTCATGCTAAATGCATAAATGGCAAAGGAGATGGCCTTGAATTTTTGCTTTTTCCGCATCATTCAGTCTAAAGAATGTGCAGTATCGTGGAATTTCTGAAGCATGGAAGAGTTTTTTTAGTGGACTTTGCATCAGAGAACTTCAGACTGAACTGTACACACACTGTTATCAGCACATTTCAAACTTCTGGGAAGACAGAACTTAAAAATGTTGGTTTTAAAACCTAAGTGGACTCCAACAGTAAGAAGAATTTAAGGATCAACTGGAAAGTAGCCTGCATGTGGCTTCAAGAGTTAACTTTGTAGTTTGCATAATTAAACATTCCACAGTAAGGAAGGAACAGCAGCACAGTGGGAGAGTAATCGGGCTCTGAGTAGGTGGTGGTCCCTTCCATAGGCTCTGTGTACAAGGAAAACCCACAGAGGCTGAAGTAGTTTGGGACATCTGTAGTGGTGAATAGCTGATCACTACGCTTGTACGCCAGGGTTAGAGTTCAAGTCATTATCTCTGTATATAGGTACATACTTTATTCTCAAAATTGCCTGTAAGACCTTAATTCTTCTCTTTTGTGGATATGTAATTTGGGAATCAGTCTCTAATATTACAGATTTTTTACTGTGTTGTAAGTGGTGCAGTATTTTATACAGTACTTTACAATCACGTAGCATTTTAAATTCCTTCATTTGTTTTCTATGACAGCTGGCCTTTCTGTCCCGCACCAGTGCGGCGGGGCACTACTCAGTAGACTGAATCTCTGAAATGATATCTGGGGGGAAAAAAAAACCTTTAAAAAAAAAAAGATAAAGAAGGAAAAAGGTGGTGAGTGGCAGCATGAAGGCAGACCTTTGACTGAAGAAAACATATTTCACCCAGTAACAGCTGGTATATCATAAAACCAGTCCACAGACGCAGAGTGGAAAGCGGTGTGCGTTACACTTGTACAGTATGCTACATGTTAAGAATAATAACAAAGAGTGGTAGTGAAAAAAACAGCAAACTAAGATTGGAAAAATGAATTATATTTAATATTTAGGCCAACCTCTATGGAAGCTATGTAGGTTTTGTGATTAATTGCTTCAGTCCTAGATTGCACCTAAGGAGGGCTGCATTGCACATGTTTATGCAGCTAATTTAGCTTCAGTGTTAACTACTTTATCCTCTGCATTGCATCTAAGTAAATTTTGTTGAATAGGCTAATTATAGTGTCTGAGTACTTCACGATTTTTAATATATGTTCTTCTTAGATGAAAAAAAATGTATATTTTTAAACTGCTAGGTATATGCTGAACTAAGCCATGGGGGAAAAACACTACACGAGTATAAAGAAAAAGCAGACGTTTACAAATGCTGTATATGTTTCCTATTTCTAACGATCCAGGAAAAAAACTAGGTATTCTATGATTATTTGAAAGCAGTGTATATGCACCACAGTCAGTCAAAGTCAAATATATAGCTTTAATAAGGACATTCGCCAAGTTGAGTGCTTAACTTTGTAGAATTAATAGTCTGTAGTCATTTTAATGAACTGTATACATTTGCAAAGTGTATAAGCATGCTGTAGTTCTCTTTTACATTATTACTGCAATGCTACATCCTGGTTTAGGATACATAATGCAGAAAAAAAGTGTTATCTAAGATTGAAGAGAACTACACAAAAATAGAGAAGGAATGAAGCTGTGGCTCAATACCTTCTTTTCTGTTGCATCTGCTAGAGTCTGGTTTCTTCACTTTCAAGATCTTTGCCAGTCTTCTCAGTCCCTCAGTTAGTGCACAGATGAT